CTGGCTACCGAGAGCGCTCTCATCTCATGTCAAGGACCGAACCAGCTCTTTAAGCCGAGGGTCCAAGCCATGGTGAAGTCTGACGAGCATGACATCCCTGTGGATGCTCATGCAGACAAGCTAGGCATGACCTCGAGACTTGGCACTAGGCACGTCTAGTATATCTGGACAACTTGCACGTAAATAGATTCGAACCCTTGATATAGGGGACAGTACAAAAGTGCAGCCCATGGCTTCTTGGACGATAGCCAAGGGGACTGAAGCTCCCCCAATCAACCCCATCTCTTGTCCGCTTGTCCATCCAACGATCAACCCCATGCCATCAACACGGTGGAATGCAACCTCTGCCAAAAGGGCACCCCGAAAAATGTTGCAAATACACTGTCAGAGTAGATTGCACTGTCAATCGCAATAGGTAGAAGAGGTGGATCAAAATGGACCTCATCCAAAGTGGAAGGCTTGTCCTATCCGCTCAAACCTGTTTGATTTGTCATGATGCAAAATTCCTTCTCAAGGTCATCCAAGCAACGATTTGGAGTTGGGCTGATGGCTGGTGGATTTGGATTCAGAATTGTCATTTGGAAAGGGTCAGGGGCTCTGCCGCGGCTGTGATGCTTCATCGCGATTTGTAGGTGGAGAGAATAGCGGCAGCAAGCGCGCTCTAGTGCACCGCGGATATCTTTACACATGTTTATCATCCACCGAATACATGATAATTCACCGATACAGCACATTGAATTCTGAAACTTGACTTGCATGGTGTCGAAGCCGAAGCATGCTGCATCTTCCAATTGAATAGCCCTTATTGAACAGAGCTATCCTTTGAATCAACAAACTCACTCTCAAATTGCTTTATGATCTTTATGAGGTCTACAGTATCCGGTTCTGCTGGTGATTTAACGGAGAAAAGTAGAAAAGGCTTGAAACCTGCGCTGGCAAACCCTTCCAGCCCCAGGCGAAGCTCCGCTTTGCCCGTTCACACCGCCCAGAAAGCGTCGCCAGCCTGGCACAAGAAGGCTTGGTGTCGGCCCCCAGTGGGATTTCGGGAAGTTAGCCATTTACTGCCTTCAAACCCAAGACCCACCGTCTGACCGTCTAGGGCCTTTTTTGCAAAGCTAAGCGGAAGGGTACTCCGTCTGCTCCATGTTGTGAGACAGAAACCTGGAGTGCATGGGGCATTAGCAATTTTCGGACAAATCAATCCTCCTCATCTTCGTTGAAGCTTAACCTCTGCTTCTTCTTTGACAAGCCTGCACCATACTGTCCATCTTGCTTTAGCGCAGAGGCACTTTGGCCATCCGGCTTCTTGGCTTCGCCCTTCCGCTTTTGAAAGCGTAGGGCACCACCTTCCTCCTCTTTCGCAGCTTCAGGCGGCTTCGCCTTCTCTGCTCTTTTGCGCTGAAACACCTTGATATCTTCTTCTGTGAGATTGCTGTCCACAATCTGCGCATCTTCAAAATCATATTCCTGGTGCACAAGTCGTGTTTTGACATCACAAGGCCTTCGTTTGAGGACCATAAGGACCACAAGCCCACAAAGACAATAAACATAATAACACAAATGATAACATACAAGAGTAACCACGAAAAAGGCCAACTATGTCAAGACTCATCGTCGTCATTCCTCCCAAGTGGAGAACTTTTGTCCAGAATCTCGGCATGTTTCAGGCCCCGTTTGTCCTTAGAACTGTTGAGAACTCAATTAATGATTGCGATTCCTGACGATGTGCAGTCCATTGTGATATGCTAGACTAGTGACTACAACTCAAAAGTACTTGCCTCTTGAGCAGCTTCAGCACCTTGAGTATTTACCGCTTGCAAACAGCCAGGACTGGACAAAGGAAAAGTAATGAGCACCCTGTCTATCCAAGTGTCGTCAGAGGGTCGGTATCTGGCATGGATGTCTTGCAAAAACTTTGGCAAAACTTGCAAACGGCTCACGGACATTCCTCCTCCTGACAAAGTTCTTGGCCCCTCGACCGTTCCAAATAGATTGAGGTAAAGTATGGTAAAGCACGATAGAGTATCGTTTCACTGTACCTCCTATTGTAGATTGTCCAAAAGAGATAGAAAAAAACAAACGAAAAGCTTTGCCGCCCAAAGCCCAGCTCCTGAAGATGCTTTTCCACCGGATTTTCCAGACTTCCCTCCTTCCTTTCCTTTCCCTCTCGACTTCCCCTTCCCCTTCCGGGGACCCTCATCATCAGACATGACGCGTCACAGTTCGAGCCGAAATCTGCAGAATCCTCTCAACAGTGCCGATTGGCAACTATGTGAATTCTTTATCTGTCCGGCAAGTTTGCAGGCAGGGGTAGGCCGGTAAAAGGATGTACTATATAATCATTTGGTTCCGATATGCCCACACACAGAGAAGACAGCAAATCACGGGAATTGGGCGTGTAACCTTACAAGCATGTAGCTGTGAAGAGATGGGGCACCTCCTTCGAGTATTTTCTCCAAGGTCGGTTCAGGCACGGCAACCGAGGAACAATCCCAGCGCACTCGGTGTGCATCGAAACTCTGGTGCGCTTCGTTCCCCGGCGCCTTGAAAAAGGTGAATGGCCTGGCCAAGGGACCCAAGATGACCCAAGGGACCGATTACTGGAGGGACCGATGGCACCTAGAGCGCTGAACGACGAGTTCTTGCAGTGCTCATGCATCTGGCATAGACCCTAAGGAGAAAGCTTGAGACATATCAAGCCCTTCTTCTTCTTCTTCTTCTTCTTCTCCATAGGCGGGGTGAAAAAAACGTGTGAAACAAAGTCAAATAAATGCCGCCCCTGTAGGCGCCCCTCATGCTCATCAGTACAGAAACTGCATGACGTAGGAAAGTGCAAATTGGATAATCGATTTAGTTTCAAAGTCCAGGTATCAACCTGGTAAAGGCGGTTTTCAAACTTGTTCCGTTCACAAATGAAAATTTTCGAAGGTATTTATGGATCATCCCGCAAAAATATAGGGCTTTCACCAAGTTCCTGTGGCGTAGCCTCCCTCAGCATGCACGCAACAATGAAAATCAAACATGTTCCTTTTAGCACTATTGGACCAGACCGGTGTAGCAGCTCAGGAAAAAAAGTCAAATACCTATGTTACGTATTGTTGTTCCCAACTATATACTGTCCTACATCAACTTTCCTGCGTCTTTAATTGCAAACCCTTTGGCATGGGCTGCAGTGGCTTGCGCTGCTTTCAAAAACCAACACTCGTGCGGTTCGGGTTCGGCATGAAAGGCGCCTCAACTTGTCTCTTCATTGACCTTTCTCATCATCTGCATAAACTCCTCCGAATGAATAAAAAGTAATCTAAATCTGGTCCGTTGCTGGAAGTGCCTCTGGTGGCTGAAGCTTCATCATTCGTGGCTTATCCTATTTAGTCCTAGGCAAAAGAAAATGTATTTAAAGACACAGTATATAACTGGTTAAGTGTTGAACCAAAAACTGCAAGACTACACCTGGGAAAAACCAAAAAGTTCACGTCCACGCCAGGTGAGCTCAGTCTTGTCACCAATGACCCGCTGTCCTGGAAGTCGATCTCTCCATCACCGTTCTTGTCGACTTCCTGGAGACCAGGGAAACAGGATGAAACAGGCTGACTGGGCCTTTGGAAAGGGTAGCATCTCAAATTAGTTCCTTGTGAAAATATACAAACCTTCAAGAACATTGCTGCGAAATAGTGAAAAACTTCCAAACTTCCCAACCCACCCACAGATCAAGAAAACCTCGTTCACAAGGACTGCAAGAAGCCGGATCGCTGACGCCTCGGTCAGCGGGTCTCGGTCCTCAAGAAGCTCGCTGACATCTTTCGGCGCCACCGCCTTCACTTCCCCATCGCTGAGGACCTTCCGGGCCATGTGCCATTTCTCCATCTCCAGTCTTGGACCGAACAGTGAAAAGCTCGGAGTCACCTCTGGACAGAGCTGGAACATGAGCTCGAAACCTCTTTGGGGGAAAGGCGGCATGTGTCCGGTGTCTTCTTTTCTCCACGAGCTGGCCAAATGGATTGTCACTGGTGACACATGTGAAAATCTGCAGGACAAGAGTCGGGAAGGCCTTTGAAGCAGCTTTGTCCATCAGATGAACACAGTGAGAAGCATGGGAAATCGTGTCGTGCGCGCCGGTACCCCACCTGTGCCAGCTCATCACGGCTGATGGTGCCAGAGCCGTCTTTGTCAAAGACCCTGCAGTGACCATTGGCTCACAGGGTCAAACATCCAGCCTGTCACCTGGTCATAGTGATACCTACTAGCCGAAGTTCAATGGGTTTGCCGTTGGACTAGCATGATGTCTCCTTTTGACACTCGGGTCAATGAGTAGAACAGCACACTTCCAAAGAACAGATTGTTCTTTGTATTTATTTATACATTGTACAGCTTTTTAACTTACCATCTTCAACATAAGTATAAGTGTGTGTGTATATAATATATATATACATATATAATATCCGCAGCGACCAAAATGTATGTATGCGTTTGCTCAAATATGGTTGCCCAATGTTGTCCAGTCGAAAATGTGTCCCTGAGGTTCTGAGCATCATGAGTGAGAGGAACGGAGAACAGCAACTGCAACAACATCTGCCTGAAGTTCACCATCCCTGAAACATTGAAACACTACAACTCGCCTGAACGCCGCCCAGCACACATCTTCTGCGATGTAATTTTTCCTGCCAAGGCTTCCAGAAAAGTTGCGGTGCTACGAGAAGGGTGCTCCAAAGCAAAACTCCGTGCCGATGTCAGTTCATATCAAGCCCTTGTTCAAAGCCACCTTCCGTATCAAAACATCTCCGATCTTCTATTCCTTGTTCTACTAAAGGTCCAGTTTCTTCAACATCTAGCAATCAAATCAATCATGCACAGGGTCTTTTTGAGGGAAGCTACCCGCCCTCAGGTGGGAATCGCCCTTCTGCGTCCAGTAGCTACTTGTCCATTGTGTTTGTGTCGTCGCCGGCTAGCTTCTTGCCTGAACCGAAAATTGTTACTAGTAGCTTCTAGCTACTAGTAGCTAAGAAGCTACTAGTAGCGATGCCCTTTGTTCCTAGCCGCTTCTTGCTACTATATTTCTTCTCAGAGGCCTTCAAAAAAATTACGTCCAAAGGTTTTAGAAAAATCTTTCGAGTGTCTGTCTTCGGGCTACTGCACTTGGCCAGCCAAATGGGCCCATGAAACAGCTACCCATACAAACCATTGCTCATTCGTAGGGCACCTTCTTCACAACTTCACAACCCTACACAATCTGAATGGAATTATGTTCTTTGTTTAGAGTTTAGACCCCTTTTTCTTTTTTCTAGGAGGGAAGCTTCCACCACTCCAGGCAAAAGGCCTTGTCCATTCCTTGAATTGAAATGGATCACCTGCCCTGGCTCCCTGTGCCTGTCAAGTGTTGCAGCCAGAAACTCGGTGTAGTCAATGGTACCTGAAAACCGACATAGCACAGCACACCATACAGGTGGTAAAGCCTGAAAGTGAGCAACCTTCACAGATATCACCACCATGTTCAAATGTGGGGCATGCTCAAAGATAGTTGGTCTCCGCCCAAACCAATAAATATCTACCGTAGATTCAGTGAGATTCCCGTTTCCTAGTAAGGCACCTGTTACTACTAGCGATGCACCTGTTACTACTAGCAAAGGAATCTGTCTAATCTTCCCTCTTCTTCCTGAAACATCGGAACAAAACTCTTTGTGGAGCCTGCTAGCTGCATCCGAGCACTTCCGATACCAATCGGCGTCGCTGACAGCGGACCACTACCGTTGCTGTCAACATCCTTGAGAATGGCATCCAGCTCTGGCGGAACTTTCTCCAAACCAGCCTCCAAGCATCGCTCTCTTGCCACTGAGGTGGTATGTTTGGAAAGGGGAGGAGGCTGTAAGAGGAGGTAAGCCAATAGCTCAAGTAGCGAACTCGTAAGAGGTATATATGTCTAGTAAGTGAGGAAGCTACTGTATGCTGAGACGCAGAAAAGCCCCCTAAGTTTCTGCAAGGAAGCTCCTGCGCCTGAAAACCCTTCGCGTGATTGATGTGGTCACTAGATTCACTAGATTTGGTCTTCAAAGGGAAAGTTAGCTTCTGATTATACGGGTGGAGCTTTATGCGGCAGGCGTTTGTACGATCCGCTTTCCCCTTACACCTTGAAGTCTTCAACCTGGAACCCAGCAGACATGCATTTTGATGTGCTTCACCCATCGGCATCTTTAGGGCATTGAGTGCTTTTATGATCAAGATCAGAGGTAACTGTCCCTGTACTGTATGAATCGCGTTACCTCATAGGGACTTGCGCACGGCGATGTCTTTTTGAAGCAGAGATGCCCAGCTGTCATAAAGCTTGCCTAGCTCTTGTCAAAACCGTGCAGCAACAACCTTCGAACAACACAAAGCTATAGCAAATGCTGTAGTCGGTAAACAAGGCAAGCGAGAGGTTACTGGGGCTTGCATAAACCAAACTCTTGCTGTGTCCGAACAGTCTTCCCAAACAAATGGAAGTCTTGCGGCGTCCCAGGGGCCTTCTGCATGCCTTCTTCAAGCTCCTCAAGCATCGATTCGATACCTTTTGGATAACATGATAAAGGATAAATCTGGTCCGAGGTTCATCTGCTGTTCCCCTCAATGGCATGGTCCGAGGCAAACCCATATTGCAAACTTGGAGACTTCGAGCCAGACCGGCAGTCCCTATGTCTGTTCAACGGCTCAAAAGGAAGTCCTACATAGTTGCTAAAGCAAAAGTCAATCCAACAGCAGATGTCTCCTTCGCGGTCAACAAGCCGTCACCTGCAAACCACCAGGTCAAGGAGCAATAGAAAAAAAGAAAAAAAAACAGTTTGATAGTGGCTCTTGCAAATGCTGCCGGCAAAACAAGTATAAGTACTGCACCGTTGACATCCATGGCAATGAATGTCTCACGCAGATCCTGCAGCGTCGATTCGCGCACGGCTTTCAACCGAAACCCATCTATCAGCAAGAACCGGGGTCTTCATATTGCGAAAAGGCCGCCATGAGCAAGAATTTATTACCATCTCCTTCCATTATATAACTGGTCCCAACAAACTTCCAATCTGTAAAGCGATGCAAAACGAGGAAGCAAAGACTGCATGTGGCTCCGATCTGAACACCGTGTCCTTGATCTGCGAGTCGGTCATTTGACCGGCGATGACATGGAGTGCCGCCTTTTTGAGCTTGTTCCTAGCCCGAGTTCTCGTAGCATTGACAGAAACCCACGATATCCCAAGGCAAAGATGGTGCTAAAACTCACTCCTTTCACATGTGTTCTCAATTCATTTCATCACACAATATGAATCCATGAGAAACCATCCAAGAACTAGCCGCAAAAATTACAATTCAAACACTTCTTTGCTTGCTTCCCCCTCGCTTCCCCCACGTTCCAAGCATGTCAGGGCCCACTGGGACCGGAAGCCCCTGAGGTTGTCGACCAGGCCGCTGCCGATGGCGACATCGTTCGCGCGGGGCGCGTGATCCTTCACCTGGGATGTTTGCGTTTAAGAAACCTTCCAGACAGCTCTAGTAAAGATTGGTAAAGCCCGGCAAAGTGCTTGAATGATCTTCTGCAGAGAAAATCTCAAGGCCAAGCCCAGTGATTACCTATTCTGTTATGTCTCAGCTGCTAAAAGGACTTGCTAAGTTCGACTCAACTTGTCTGAGTCTCAAGTTCAAAGGGCCGTGAATCTAAAAGTAAAGGCTCTGACCCATTCAGCATTCAGCGCTTGCTCGGCAGTGATCCTTGCAGTGAAGTACGTTTGATCAAGTCCATTGGATCCCAAAATGGTTTGTGCAGTACTCCTGCTTCATGGATTTCAACTGCTAGGTTGGAGGCCATCACTATTAGATTATTAGAAACGGTGTAACTCGACTCCTCCTGCTCCTGCTTCACGGATTTCAACAAATGTTAAATGTTTCATCCATGCGTGCTCACACGCACAAAGGGCCCAGGTGCACCGGCCTCTCTTTTGGACTGAACTTCAGCAGATTTCGGATGAGACCCTTTGCATCCTCGGAGACCTCAAGAGTCGGAAGCTCAGACTAATCGTACCAATTTTGTATCAAAGCTCATCCTCTTCGTAAAGGGATGCAACTTCACCAGAACCACTGTATCACAACATAACTACGCTGAGTACTGCATACCGCAAGCAAGCCATCTTGTGTTGCCCCGAACACTGATTCCCTTTCAGCCTTCGGCTGGAAGTCGAGCAACTGACAATTCAAAAGAAGATTCATTCCGGGCAGGAAGCCCATGCTTGATGATAGAGGTTTCAAATGTTAAAGTCTAGTGAGCACAAATTGTGCTCTTTAAATACTACTCTCTCAACTCCTCATCGAGCCACGTTCTTCCAATCTGCCGGGTTAAAGCTAAAGGAGCCCTTCGAAACCTGGCAGCGAAGAATTCAATTAAGCAGCTCCGGCAACAAAACCGGCAACGGAAATCGATGAAGAAGAAGAAGAATCTATTTCTGTCTGATGAACATAGATTGCTTCTGGCTTCTAGGTCGTGTGGCTCAAGCCAGCAACAAAGGCACTGTGGGGCCTGTGTGGTCCAAAGGTTCAAGAAACCTTGGACCCACCATTACCAAAAATGCTTGTCTTTGCTTCATTGAAGTCAACTGCACAATTGAATTCTGATTGTGCTTTGATGTTGGCTGGGGCCAACAATGTTCTCTCGGCTGAGATCTAGGGGCAATAGGGTCTGCAACACACCTCCATCTGTCCACGGCCTAGCCTTCTGTAGAACCTTCTTGTCTGTATCACCCCAAAATGGGGGATAGCCGCATAGAAGGACATACCTCAGTTGCCAAACCACAGCAGGGCTGACAATGAGATCTAAAACGCTCGCGCAAACAACTGTGAGCCTGGCATAATGACACCGCAACTCCAAAGATCTGCGGCTTGATCGTACTTCCCTTCTAAAACCTCATGTCGGACTCAACAAACTGAGCAAAACAGCTGAGACGAGTGCATCTGAAGCAAGGATGGCTACTGTAAACATGGCTAGAGTCGTTGTAGTGCAACTATTTGTCAATGCATTTTTGCACTCCTTCTTCACTTCTCAGCTATCTGTTTACTTCTCACAAATGATTGTATTTCATACTCTTTCCACTGCAGGCCAAAAAGCCTGAGGTGCTACATAGAAAGGCGTGCCCGCTTTGGTAGTCATAGGCTGGCATATTGGAGCAGATGGAAACTACGGTGCTCACGACTGAAGAAATTGATGACTCTAGTTGAGAAAGGCTGCCCGCATTTGCACAGCTTGGTGTTTTTCCTCATTTGGACTTCACTCTCGTCATCGTGCAAGCGTTCATCGATTACAGCGGCAAGTTACTTCTTGACTGCTCGAAACCGCACACATCTCTGGAAGTTGGCCAGGCACACCACATCAGCCTTAAACTCATAGGCCAAGCCAAAGTCAATGATTTTCAGGTGGGTCCTTAGTTCACTACCATCCCAGCTGGAATGAGCTCATGAGGTTGCCAAAGAATCTGTCTCCCGTGCACGTCTCATTCGGCTCAAGCAAATGATGGCAATGCCGATTTGATGGATGAACTGACCCAGAGCTCCAGCACATCTCTTTGATCAAAAGTGAAAGGATGACTCGAGAGATTGTCTTGCTGAAAGCACAAATCGATCTCGGCAGGTTGGAAAGGTCTCAAGAACCCAAGGTGGCCCAAGGCCCACACTTTTCGATCTTCTCCTTCGTTGCGAAGAGGAAGTTCTCCGGCTTCAGATCCTTCAAAGCACCGACAGGCTCTCACACACTCTGTTCACGAGGTCTGCAAGAGTACCATCAATTGAGCATGCCCTGCCTTCAACAGTTTCTGCTCTGTTGATGTTCTCTTGTCCAACGGACTGATGCTCATTTATGCCGATTTCGAGGAGGTGCGAGCCCACAAGACTCTCCTCTCTCTCTCTCTCTCTGATTGGAAGTGACAGGCCAGGCCACCGGGCCCTATGACAAAGATTGTTGTGGTGCATATACCAGACTGCACCTGCACAAGCAAGGCCTCAAAGCCTATCAAATCCTTCCAGCCCAAATGCCAAAGTCAAAGTTCAGCCAGGAGTGAATCCAAGCCACTAGGGCTAAAGCTAGCATTTGCTCGGAACAGCTGAGACAACCGGCCCAAAAAGGAGTCATGTTTGTTCCAAAGAAGCTTTGACATTTGACGATTCTCAAGCCAAGTGGCGAAACATCTGCTGCATCACAATGGCCGCCTGAACCTGCAAGAACCGGAGGTGAAAGCTCAGAGTGGCTTGGTTTCAGGGATGTTCAGCCATCCTGGAGGGTGATTGTTCTTCGGCAACGGTAATTCGTTCTCCTTGCTTGCGCCATGAAGTTGACCCCCATCCGGGGTTGCGTGTGTTATTTTTTGTGGCCTTAGCCCAGGAATAGCCCATGTCCATCTCACATCAACCAACCCACTGCAAACATCTATGCAGCACTACTAAGTTGCTGCTAGCAATTTATAGCTCACAATTTATCTCGACAATCCCCAACCTCATCCCCATCGGGGCCTCGGTAAAGTGGCCAAGCT